GGAAAGAGGGGTAAATAGCAGCATGGAGAGTTTAAAACTTACCTTTATCACAAGCCTTCCAAAAGAAAATCCTGTAAATATTTTACTTTTTCTTAAAATCAGCCTGGTAAATGAGTTAAATGATTTAGGGAAAGTGCATGATTTAGAGAAATGAAAGTTAGTTGCACTAAAATTACTACTTCAGTTTTTCCAAAACAATGCATAAAAATACTTCAGGCAAAACTTTGCTCATTTCCCCGACCCCGAATATCCTTTACCCTTTTTTTCTTCTGTAGATATTGATCCCATGCAAATTCTTGAAGAGGAACCATTATAGGATCATCAAATTTGGATGGAAAATTGGTCTTCAGACACTAGGTTTCAAAATAGAACAATTAGAGTACGTTTTTTTAAAGTAGTAATAATTTCCCCCAATTTTTATGAGGTCTCCAAGAAATTTTATACCATGCATATCTAAGCTGCAGTCTGGTTAGATGCCCCTTGCCAGCCACCCAGAACCCTGTGTTTACTTCCATTAAGTCACTCCCCAGCCCATACTGGTGCTCCGTCTTCTTTGTCTCTTTGAGGACAAAGACTATGTCTTTGTTTTCCTATATTTCCACTGGCCTCAACATCTGGCATAGAGTGGATCATTTACACATAGCAACTGAATAAACAAATGAACAAATAAACAAGTTTGTGCCAATAGTTTTGTGATCTGCCATGTTCTTTTTTTTTTTTTTTTTGAGGAACTGTATTTATTTTTTATTTTTTTTATTGCTTAAAGTATTACAAAGAGTATTCTATATGTCTCCTTTTTTTCCCCTTCTTGACATTCCCCCAGCTCCCCCTATTCCCCAGTGTCTTATGTCCATTGGTTATGCTTATACGCATGTATATAAGTCCTTCGGTTGATCTCTTACCACCCCTCCTGCCCCCCAACCCTCCCCAGCCTTCCCGCTGTAGTTTGATAGCCTGTTCGATGCTACTCTGCCTCTATTTTTGTTCATCTTTTTTTTTTGAGGAACTGTATTTATTTATTTTTTAATTTTATTGCTTAAAGTATTACAAAGAGTATTATATATGCCATGTTCTTTTAGAACCAGTTTTCCTAAGTTAAACTCTTACTAACCCTCAGTGGATCTATGGATACTTTTAACTAAAATAAATAGATGCTTATTTAATTATTATTTAATTATTGCTTTAATTCACTGATATATGGGGAATGACCAAAAGGATACTGTTGTGGTTATACCTCTTACGAAAAAGAGAAATACTAAATATGTTTAGGTTTAGATATTGAGCATGTTTTAGTTTAACATATTATTTTGTCTTTATGATTCAGAGAGAACAGAACCTAGACACAGAACCTAGAGACAGAACTTCGCTGGAGAGAACATGGCAAAAGATCCTGGACAGAACCTGGCCACAGAACCCAGACACAGAACCTAGAGACAGAACCTGGCTACAGAACCTGGATAGAACATGGCAAGAGAACCTGACTAGAATCTGGTGATTCAGAGAAAATTCTTACTAGTTAACAATCCCTGTCAAAAATAAAAAGTTTTAACTCCTAATCTGTCATACTTTTCCTCCTCCTAAAGCAAGAGGAGGTAGTTGAGGCAACAACAATTAGGCCTCACCTTTCTGAGTGGGTCTGAGGAATAGATGGGCCAACAGGGAGGAGTGACAGCTGGCCTCTCCCATCGTCGTCTAACAGGACACTGATCCAGCACGTTTCAAGGGTAGATAGCCAGGATGTGAGAGCGTCTTGCCTTGGGACTAGGGATAGCAGAAGAGGGCAAGGGCAATCTGGCCATTTCCTTCCTAGACTACTGTCCCCAACCAACAGATGATGTGTGCTTTTTTCTCAATTCCGGGGTCTGCGGAGTCTGAGGCAACTGTGCAGGATGACTGTCTTGAACTGAGGGACCACCTGGAATAACTAATAAGCCCAACAGTTTTCAAATTGAGCATACTTAACCACACTTTCCTCCTAATTTAGTGTTTGTTCTAAAATGGACTACGTCCAAATTAGTATATTATGTAATACTTACTCTTTAGAAATCTGAATCTTTGTCAGTTACTTAGGCATCTGGGATTGCTCACAAATGATCACATTGGACTTATTTTCACAGATCCTTTATTGAGATAGAACTAACTGAACTTATATTGATGTCTTCGTATTCAAATAGAGCTACAGTAGGCAAAAGCTTACGAAAGGGAAATTATCATTACTAACATAATAACGGCATTGTTTTCTTGACTTAGTGTGTGCTCTACAGCAGGCCAAATCAAAAAATCAAAAGAATCATATCTCATGTCATCTGAAATTATATGCAAGTCAAATTGTAGTGTGCACAATAGTTTTATTGGAAAACCACTACTCATTTACATATTGTCTGTGGGTGCTTTTGCACCACAAAGACAGAGCTGAGTAGTAGCCATCGAGAATCTATGGGACTGAAGGCCTAATAATCTAATATCTAGACTTTACACAAAAACACTGCTCACACCTTATCTACAGTGTGGAGCAGGCACAGAAAACACGTGCTTTCATAAAAGTTGCTGAGAAAAACAAAGGGATAAAATTCCTCAAACACATGAATTACAATTTAGGCCATAAAACTAGGTTGATCCTATCAGCCCAACTAACACAAACAATTCCTACTTGTTTTGATGATCCATATATTGTTTCCACAGCCTTCTGATCACTTATTCTCTTCATTTTGATGTAAACTTTACCTATTTCACAAATTAGTTACTATTTCTTGACTTGATATAATTACAAACTTTTCTTTAACTCTGTGGACTTGGACTAGGCAAGATAGCAATTTGAGATTTTTTTCTGTTTGGGAACATTTTGTGTCAAGTATCCAGCTGACTACTTTGGAAGATATAAACATGAATAAGGTATTGTCCTAGTGTCCAGTGGGAAGGAGAGAAGCGTGGCATAATTTTAAAGCATCAGTTCTGGAGCAAACCCCAAAGACATGCTGCATTCTACAGTTCCCGGGCACTGGGGTTATAGGTGTGTTGCAACATCACTGACCTGGCCACATCATTCCAATTAAAGTGTTTTTCCATCTAGATCATTCTGTGTGTTTACAAATAATTATCTGTATTCTCCAAAGCACCTGATGGTTGGTCATTTATGAAGAAATCCCCTTAAGCACCTACTTCGATTGGAATGTAGTGACTGCTATAGAAAGTTTAAATAATAATAAAAAAAACTTCCCAAATGGTTTTCAAAAATCACTTGGAGTGGGAGTTTGTAAAAAATTTAAAAAATCAGCTAATTATTTGGTAGCTTTTTCCTAAACATTTTTTCGTGAATTTTTAAAATCTGTAATTCCAGTTAAAAGTTAATGTGGAACACAATGTGTGGCTACGCAGAGGGGAGGAATTACCTTTGTGCCCCGCAAGGTTGTGAAGGCTTCCTTCGCTCGGAAGGCCCTTTAAAGGTAGCCCTTCTCGAAGTGGAATGCCCGCCCCCCCAGAACCCGCACATTTCCCCTGCACGCTCAGGTCCAACCAGACCGGCGCCGCTCAGCCGGGACGC